TTTGAGACAGAGTCTCACTCTATTGCCCAGGCTGGAGTGCTGTGACATGATCTCGGCTCACTGCAACCTCTGCCTCCCAGGTTCAAATGACCTGCCTCAACCTCCTGAATAGCTGGAATTATAGGCATGTGCCACCATGGCTGGCTAATTTTTGTATTTTTAGTAGGGATGGAGCTTCACCATGTGGGCCAGGATGGTCTTGAACTCCTGACCTCAGGTGATCTGCCCGCCTTGGCCTCCCAAAGTGCTGGGATTGCAGGTGTGAGCCACCACTCCCAGCCTTCTTCTTTGTTGTGGAGTCAGTGAGGCCACCAGGTAAGGGACAAGGGTTTAAAGATTTAAATGCTGAGCTAAGTAACTGCGTGTGGACTGTGATAAATCTGCAGGGGTTTTCTTGCTTTTGTGTTTCCTACCACCGCTCTTGGCCTGCCCTTCTTAGAGCACTGATGTGATTTCCTTTATTAATTTGCCAGTGCTTTGCCTATAAATTCCAGGTGCATCTGAAGAGAGATATATTTCTAAGGAAGAAACTGGAGGCTTGGACTAAAAATGACTAGAGATTTAATGAAATATGATCAGCTTAGGCTTCTAACACACTCTCCAGAGAAGAAAACTCTAGGTGTTGAGTTAGGAGGTATGAATTCAAATCTTGGCTCATTTCTTTTCTAGCTATGTGTCTTCAGCAAGTCAAAACTTTTCTAAGCCTTAACATACTAACCTGAAGAATGCTGTAAAATTTTAAATGGGTGAACATGTGAAAAGGGGATAATGTGTAAGCAAGTGTTTAGTATTAGTTACATGCTAGGAACACAATACAATTGTGTTGCATAAATGAAATTTGTTTATACGTAACTTTGTTCTCATCATAATCCTTTATATGGAAAGATGTGAAAATAACTATCACTTAACTCATGCCATAGTTAAATGTGGGTGAAATGGCTACCTCTCCAGTTTACCATCTGGAACATGTGGACTGTAAGTTCAGTTTGGGCAGGAGGAGGCACCTGGGCTCCTGCATCACCTCCATTCCGGCTACGTTGGCCAAAATGCAAAGTTAGGCTGGCAGATGCCAGCTAATATGTCAATGGTACACACTAATTCTCTCTTCCCCACTTAAAAAATGTTTAATAAATCTCATCGTTTAACACTGATAATTGTAATAATAAAGAGAATCATAAAGCAAGCACATTTGAAGAAATGGCTGATGTTTCTGACGACATTCTTGTGTGAGCTGCTGTTACAACCCTGTTATTTTATCAACACAAAGAAAAAGAACAATACATTCTTCATTGATATAGTAAGTCACATTGCTTTATGTCTCCTGCCCACAGACTTAAACTTTAAGAGGCACATAAATAAGCAACTTAGCATATGTGACCTCCTGACCGTCAAGTGTTAAATTCCAGGA